TCATGGTTATAGTTGCTGTCGCTGGGGGATTAGAGTGAGTCTGGCGAGATTCCGTCTATTAGGTGCAAGCTAATAAAGAAGCTGAGCTGCATTCTGGACTGACTCGTGTGATTCTTGGGCTGAACCTGACACCAGCTTGCGTGGGGTGATAACTCTACCCAATCCTGGGGGTGGCTAGCACCCTGATGATGCTCCCTGAGTGATCGCCAATTATCTTTTTATTTTGTATTTATTATTGTAATATTGTAATTTTAATTGATTTTGTTTTTGTAAACCGCCCAGAGTCGCTTAATGAGATGGGCGGTGACAAATTCAATAAATTAAAAAAAAAATTAAAAAAGAGCAATTGAAGAGTGGAGTCAGGGACCAGAGAGTTGATGACTTGTGGTGGTGGTGGGGGCTTCCACTGGATAGGTTTCTGTAGAGGCTGAACAGCCATCTCTCAGGGAGTCCTTATTTAGAATTCCTGTGCTTGAGTTGAATTCTAGCCAGCACAATTATGCACAGGAATGGAGGGAGGTAAAGGAGGTAGCTGGTCCTTGGTCCTCAGGCAGTGACCAAGTGAATTCTTGGCCTTGTGAGATGGCAGAACTTGGGGACCAGTTCTTTTTGATATCTACATGAAGCATCCCTCTCCTAGGTGAACTAAGTGATGCTGTGGATGTTCTTTTGCGGTGCTTGGAGGCTTTTTTTTTAAAAATGAATTTATTGATAAGTAAACAAAAGATATGAAAGTACAACCAAAAATATAGCAGAGTTAGTAAAATCTTTTGCAGTGCTTGGAGGCTATTGGGGTCTGGATGGGGAACAAGAGGCTTCAACTGAACCCTGGTAAGATGGAGTGGCTGAGGGTTCAGCATTTGGGGGCTTACCACCTTGGGTCCTGGATGGGGTTGCACTGCCCCAGACAGAGCTAGTGATAATCTGGGGGGCCTCCTGGACTCACGACTCTTACTCCTCATTGCCCCAGCCATGACAGTCATGGCTAGGACGGCCTTTGCTCAACTCCATGTTGTGCACCAGTTGTGCCCATTCCTGGATCAGAAGCCCTTCTCTTGGTCACTAATGCCCTGGTCATCTCCCATATGGACCATTGCAATGTGCTCTACATGGGACTATCCTTGAAAAATATCCAGAAGCTGCAGCTGGTGCAGAATGCGGCAGCACGGGCAGTTGTGGGCACGTCTAGGGGTGCACATATAACACCTCTGCTGTGTGAGCCGCATTGGGTGCCAGTTTGCTTCCGGGTCCAATTCAAGGTGTTGGTTATGATCTTTAAAGCCATTCTTGGCATAGGCCCAGGTTATCTGAGGAACCACCTCATTGCAGTTACATTGGCCTGTCCCACCCGGTCCGGCAGGAAGGGCATGTTACAGACCCCGTCGGCTAAAGAATTTCAACTGGCGGGGTCTAGGAGGAGAGCCTTTTATGCCATGCCCCCCACCCTGCGGAACAACTTGCCCCCTGAGGTGAGATTGGCCCCCACTCTTCTGGCCTTCCGGAAGAGCGTTAAGACCTGGCTCTGCCAACTGGCATGGGGAACCAGTGCGGTTGGTTGGTGGCTTGAGGATGCTCTGTCTTTTAACTTTGTATATTTTTGTAAAAATTTTTATTGTTCTTATCACTTTTTTATTTGTAAGCTGCCTAGAGTCACTTATACAGTGAGATGGGCGGCGTATAAATTTGATTAATAAAATAAATAAATCAACGAGTAATGTTTGTAGAAACTGGCTCAGTCCTTTAACTAATTAAATCTAGTCATATAGACCCTCTATTGGTCCCTCTTCTCAGTTTTAGTACAATATGTAATTTTGATACAATGGTATTTATATACTTAAATTCTTAATATTCTATTATGTAGTCACCTTAGAGTATTAAATGCAGATAAGTTAAAAGAAAAGGATATTCTGTAAGTATAATTAAATTTTGAAAGCTAATGTTCTAAGCATTATAATTATTTGAATTTTCTTCAAAATTAAATATAATGAATATATAATGAAATGAAAAAAATGGGAGAAGAGCATACTTCAAGGCATTTGTTTTACAATAATAGTTTTGGTCTTAAGGTAAATTACCTTATGGAGATTGTTATTAAAATCTCCAACATGTTGTTGCATGGTATGTGTGTGTGTGTACGTGTGTGTGTATGAATATGGATGTATATGTTTTTATACCTGTTAACAAAAGAAAAAACTAGCAATTTTGAAATACTAAAAAATAAAATTAGGAAAAAAGCTAAAGAAAACATAAAAAACAGGAAAAAACCCCAAGAAGCTGTTGAATTTCTGACTTCCCCCCTTTTATATATCTGCTAATTTGCGGTACTTATAACCGTCTGGTCCATCTCTAACCTTCAATACTGGCCTGCCTTGCAGAAATGATGCCCAACACCATCATGATGCCCCAAACCATATCCAGACATTGACCTTCATGACTTGCACGTGGGTTTATTCCCAAGCCACCATGTTTGAAACGCCATATCCAATCACAAAGGGAATGCATGGCTTAGTTGATCAGGGAGATACTTTATAAAAATCATGAAGATTTGTGTGAAGGATCTCTGTTTTCATATTGCAGCAGAGCAAGCAATCCTTTCTATTTGCTTCCCTTTTTATCTTAACCAAGATGCTTTCAACACTCACGTTACCATCAGTCCAGCGGACCTTCGCCAGGTCAGTTCATCCGTGACAGACAATGCTGCACCACCTTCTTTCTTGCATTACCTGTTCCTATATCCAACAAGCCCAATATTCCACTGGTGGGATGTTTCTGTAATCCCTATTACAGGTAGTCCTTCGTTAATGACCACTCATTCAGTGACTGTCTGAAGTTAACTATGGCGCTGAACAAGGGGGACTTACGACTTGTCCTCAAAGTTTGGACCATCCCAGCATCCCCGCGGTCATGTGATCGCAATCCAGACACTTGGCAAAAGGCTTGCACTTATGATGGTTGCAGCACCCTGCAGTCACATGATCACCATTTGTGACCTTCCCTGATGGCTTCCTATAAGCAAAGTCAATGGGGAAGCTGGCAGGGAAGGTCACAAGATGCTCCTGTAAGTCACTCGCGCTGCTGCGGCTTTTTCTCCCAAGGAGCCCGGCTCCAGAGTATGAGATCACGGGGATCTCATACTCCATAATGCGCGTGCACCTGCAGCAACCCCCACTCATGGCGGCCCCCTGTGCTCCCTCCCCCTACGCAGCAGCAGCCACCCCTGGCCCCAGCGCACTCACACGGCAACAGGGGTGGCTGCCTGTGTACCTTCCCTCACACCTGGCAGCAACCACCCAACGCTATGCTCGCACCACACCACAGCAGCCACTTACCTGCGCGCTCGGCCTGCTTGCAAGACTTGCAGCTTCCTGCCTGCTTCCCCATTGCCTTCGCTTGTTGGAAGCCGGCAGGATGTTGTGAGAAGATCCTCGCTTAATGATGGCAACGGGGACCGCTGGGATTGCCACTACTAGGCAATGCGATCACATGACGTCGCGCTTAGCGACGGGACTTTCGGCCCCAATTACCCTCATCGAGCGAGGCCTGCCTGCGCGTCCGTTCGCGTTTGGGCCGCTTGACGCCCGGCTCGTTTCGCTCGTCGCCCGTCCTTTGCGGGAGGCATTTAAGACCCGGGCTCTCTGACGCCTTCGCCCCCCCGCGCCGTCTAAAGTCCCCTTCCGAGGCGGCTCA